CAATGGACATTTTAGGAGGAAGTGATATTCATCTTCTACACAACCTAACGCACAAAATGTACATATTCTATTACTGCGGGGAATGCCACACCGTCTGCCAATATTAACCATTAAAGGGAGCTCACATATTCGTAATAAACAAAGACCAAAGTTTATTAAGGAAGCTCTATTTCTCAGAAATTCCCATCTGTCATTATAATGATTATTTTGTATTATGTTGTACACGGGCCGTTGGCCTTTATACCGAATAAAAGAATTGAATTGAAATCCAGGATGTCCACATAACATATCGTGAGGGCAACACACACAGGGATGTGTATAAACCTCAGGATGTCCACGTAACGTATCGTGAGGGCAACACACACAGGGATGTGTATAAACCTCTAGGATGTCCACGTAACGTATCGTGAGGGCAACACACACAGGGATGTGTATAAACCTCCAGGATGTCCACATAACGTATCGTGAGGGCAACACACACAGGGATGTGTATAAACCTCCAGGATGTCCACATAACGTATCGTAAGGGCAACACACACAGGGATGTGTATAAACCTCTAGGATGTCCACATAACGTATCGTAAGGGCAACACACACAGGGATGTGTATAAACCTCTAGGATGTCCACATAACGTATCGTAAGGGCAACACACACAGGGATGTGTATAAACCTCTAGGATGTCCACATAACGTATCGTGAGGGCAACACACACAAGGATGTGTATAAACCTCCAGGATGTCCACATAACGTATCGTGAGGGCAACACACACAGGGATGTGTATAAACCTCCAGGATGTCCACATAACGTATCGTAAGGGTAACACACACAGGGATGTGTATAAACCTCCAGGATGTCCACATAACGTATCGTAAGGGCAACACACACAGGGATGTGTATAAACCTCTAGGATGTCCACATAACGTATCGTAAGGGCAACACACACAGGGATGTGTATAAACCTCTAGGATGTCGACATAACGTATCGTGAGGGCAACACACACAAGGATGTGTATAAACCTCCAGGATGTCCACATAACGTATCGTGAGGGCAACACACACAGGGATGTGTATAAACCTCCAGGATGTCCACATAACGTATCGTAAGGGCAACACACACAGGGATGTGTATAAACCTCTAGGATGTCCACATAACGTATCGTAAGGGCAACACACACAGGGATGTGTATAAACCTCTAGGATGTCCACATAACGTATCGTAAGGGCAACACACACAGGGATGTGTATAAACCTCTAGGATGTCCACATAACGTATCGTGAGGGCAGCACACACAGGGATGTGTATAAACCTCTAGGATGCCCTCATAAAGTGACATAACACACGTAACTTACAAGATAACACCTGCCGCGAGACATGTGGAGACATCACTGAAGCATAAGGACACGTCTCATTTTACGTTACGTTTATATTTTTTTCTACGCTCTACATAACATGAAAGTGGGCTAATTGATATGTGTCTTACCTGAATAGGGAGTGGTTTAATTATAGCATTTATGAGGTCATATACATCGGAGACTATTGCGTTTCCCTGTGTATGTTAGGATAATGAGCAAGCTGCTGGAGCACAACCAGCAAATATGGGACAATTGTATGCAGGACCTGGCTCCTGTGAAGCATGACTCAATGTTCTCACAAGGTGCACCCCGTGTACTGACTGTTCTGTACTTAACAGGTTTGTGTTGATCAACACTTACATCACGTGACGGCTGTCATGAGATGGGGGACCATGTAGTGATTGCGTTTGATATGATACACCATTTATATGCTGGTTGCAAGCTAGGTTCCCGTTTGATGCATGTCGCACCCTCTATCATGGAGACCGTGGTGTCTCAAGCCTGTACCTTCTTTGTATGTACATCAGGGGGACTCAGGCCTCATAAAACAACTAACGGTACACTTTGTAAGGGGATACGGGCCACATGAACCTTCACAGACCCTATACATCTGACTGTAAATTATGTCCAGGTGATTCAAACCATATGAACACTCAGACATATACATCTGACTGTAAAATATGTCCAGGAGATTCAGGCCACATGGACTCTCACAGACACAATACATCTGACTGTATATTATGTCCAAGAGATTCAGGCCACATGGACTCTCACAGACACTATACATCTGACTGTAAATTATGTCCAAGAGATTCAGGCCACATGGACTCTCACAGACCCTATACATCTGACTGTAAATTATGTCCAAGAGATTCAGGCCACATGGACTCTCACAGACACTATACATCCGACTGTAAAATATGTCCAGGGGATTCAGGCCACATGAACCTTCACAGACCCTATACATCTGACTGTAAAATATGTCTAGGAGATTCAGGCCACATGGACCTTCACAGACACTATACATCTGACTGTAAAATATGTCCAAGAGATTCAGGCCACATGGACTCTCACAGACCCTATACATCTGACTGTAAATTATTTCCAAGAGATTCAGGCCACATGGACTCTCACAGACACAATACATCTGACTGTAAATTATGTCCAAGAGATTCAGGCCACATGGACTCTCACAGACACTATACATCTGACTGTAAATTATGTCCAAGAGATTCAGGCCACATGGACTCTCACAGACCCTATACATCTGACTGTAAATTATGTCCAAGAGATTCAGGCCACATGGACTCTCACAGACACTATACATCCGACTGTAAAATATGTCCAGGAGATTCAGGCCACATGAACCTTCACAGACCCTATACATCTGACTGTAAAATATGTCTAGGAGATTCAGGCCACATGGACCTTCACAGACACTATACATCTGACTGTAAAATATGTCCAAGAGATTCAGGCCACATGGACTCTCACAGACCCTATACATCTGACTGTAAATTATGTCTAGGAGATTCAGGCCACATGGTCTCTCACAGACACTATACATCTGACTGTAAAATATGTCTAGGAGATTCAGGTCACATGAACCTTCACAGACACTATACATCTGACTGTAAAATATGTCTAGGAGATTCAGGCCACATGGACTCTCACAGACCCTATACATCTGACTGTAAATTATGTCCAGGAGATTCAGGCCACATGGTCTCTCACAGATACTATACATCTGACTGTAAAATATGTCCAGGGGATTCAGGCCACATGGACTCTCACAGACACTATACATCTGACTGTGAAATATGTCCAGGGGATTCAGGCCACATGGACTCTCACAGACCCTATATGTCTGACTGTAAAATATGTCCAGGGGATTCAGGCCACATGGACTCCCACAGACCCTATATGTCTGACTGTAAAATATGTCTAGGAGATTCAGGCCACATGGACTCTCACAGACCCTATACATCTGACTGTAAAATATGTCTTGGCCACATGGACTCTAACAGATACTGTACATCTGACTGCAGTTTGTAAATAATCGAATCTGGATCAGACAATCCATTGATTTACTTTATGAGCAATGATCTAAACAGCTGGGATACGATGGTATGTCATGAAAACGGTCGGTGTGTTTAATCGTCAAATCCCGTTAGTTGCTCTTTTTCGTTTGGTTATAACTTGAATCTATGTCTTATATATGTTGATTTAACACATACATGGCGAGATCAATTGGTCTATAACCGTCTGTGTATTTATTCGTTCGACGTCGTTAATGGATGTTTAACTTGACAGGAAGTAGTTAAAATTGTATGTTGTATATGTTGATAATTTTAAAACACACGTGTCGAGTTAAACTGCCCTACCTGTCATACTGCACAATATACACCGAGCTGTTGACTCATGAACTAACGCCGAGAGTCATACCTAACACTTCATTCTGTTAACAGGTGTGATATAAACTGGTTATTTCTAGCACTGTCAAGCTTTTGACTAAATAGGGTATTGTTAATGCTACGCTTGGCCTATTTACCCCCGATATTCCGCGCGGTTCGGGAAGTGGTACATCCCTTATACTTTTTCAACCGCGCCGCCTTTTGGCGAGGTTTTCTGTTGTATGGATCGTTGCTTTGAGTGAGGTTACGACATTACCCACATAGGTCAACCAACCTCAGCAACGATACGAGCGCCTGGGTTCCCTACTTACGATAGGAATCGTACAATCAGATATTTCCTGTTGCTTGGAAAGGAGATTGGCTTTTATGCTGTTGAAAACACATACAGTGTATATTAATTGATTAACCAGCTGTTTTTAAAAGTCTCGATATTCAGCCCGTATTATGACTGAATAAACGACGTGGTGAGACTAGTGATCCCGGATATGAACCTTCACAGACCCTATACATCTGACTGTAAAATATGTCCAGGAGATTCAGGCCACATGGACTCTCACAGACCCTATACATCTGACTGTAAATTATGTCTAGGAGATTCAGGCCACATGAACCTTCACAGACCCTATACATCTGACTGTAAAATATGTCTAGGAGATTCAGGCCACATGAACCTTCACAGACCCTATACATCTGACTGTAAAATATGTCCAGGGGATTCAGGCCACATGGTCTCTCACAGACACTATACATCCGACTGTAAAATATGTCCAGGGGATTCAGGCCACATGGAGTCTCACAGACACTATACATCTGACTGTAAAATATGTCCAAGAGATGGACACATACACATACATAGGTCAACCAACCTAAGCAACGATACGAGCGCCTGGGTTCCCTACTTACGATAGGAATCGTACAATCAGATATTTCCTGTTGCTTGGAAAGGAGATTGGCTTTTATGCTGTTGAAAACACATACAGTGTATATTAATTGATTAACCAGCTGTTTTTAAAAGTCTCGATATTCAGCCCGTATTATGACTGAATAAACGACGTGGTGAGACTAGTGATCCCGGATATCAGTCTCCATCCAACTCGGTCACATACTGAGAAATGCAAGTATTGATCACCGTTACCCAGCATACTGAGTGAGAAATACTGGTGGATTTTCAATGGACGCGGGCTGATTCTACCATCACACCCAGCACTACACACCACTAACTCATACATACATGGCATCTCTTGTGTATCCGGATGATGATGGATGCCGTGGCGTCTATCCGATACTCCTCCTCGACCAAACGGCCCTGTATCCTCACCCCTGTAGATTTCAGTCGTCTCCCCTCCCTCCTTCCACAACCAGTGTAGCAATCCGTCTGCCTCAGGGTACTGGCGACTGGTGGCTCTAAGATGAGAGAATCATGAATGGCAAATTGCAAAGCGAGAGAACCGTCTTAGTGCGACTGACCTGTACCGCTTCGTGGCTCTCATTGCCCGTCCAGTGCAGCGTACACTACCCCGGTGCAGATGGTCTCACAGTGAACGCGCTATATTCGATCGTTTGTTATTGCCCACAATGTTTGGACATATTTGACAGTATGATGACATCTTGTCACATCCGTTGTAAGTTTTAAGTACAATCCAGTTTGAACCAGAAATAGGCGTTTATTCATTGTTATATATATAAACACTTAAGTATGTGCGCTTGTTCGTGAACATAATTGTGTAAAATGTTTTCGCACTTTAATGCACTAGTTCACCTGGATCTCGAGAATTCAAGAATAACCAGGTCTGACTGTCTTCCCCAGAAGTGACTTTCATGGCCGACATTGTAACCATTTTGAAAGTCACCAGCATACGGTAATATGGTGTAGTCTTGTTTTCTGCATGTTGTCATGTACACATGGACCCTGGATCTTTACATAAATCAAGGTATTCCTCATTCCATTCATATTTCATCACGTACAGTGTAAGATAAGATAAGATATTTATTGCATAGCATTCAATGAAGGAACAGTGGCAATATTCTATACAAAGTAGGTCCAAGAAATATAGATACATTTCACACGTAAATGATGTACATTATAACAATTTTTAGAAATCATGTGGTATAATGACATGGAAATAATATATGAGGAGACTATGGTAAGATATAGAATTCATTTAAAGTTGTAAAGATGGTGACATATTTTGGAAATTAATTCAGGACTTCTGTTCGTGAAAATTATTAGGAATTGTTCCCAATCTTTTGAGAGTGTAGTAAATTCTTGGTCATAATAAAGCATTTTGTGTATAAGTGATTCCCTTTCTTCGTTATACTTGGTACATGATATTACATGTATATTTCAATATACATCTGGGATGTACGTTATCGATTATTACGTTATTTCACTCTGCATTGATTTTCAAGCTTCACCTCAGATATATGTCACGGACAGACGTATTTACACTCTCACTCCGCACTGTTGCTGGAGCTGAGAGTCTGTGTGTTTATTTGAGATTCAATGGGCGTCTATCATGTTTCTGATGTTGCAGTAATATTACGCTCTGTCTCTCTCTCTCTTTCTCTCTCTCTCTCTCTCCCTCCCTTTTCTCCCTCTCTCTCTCTGTTTGAAATATATTTTCGTGGAGATCTGTACGCATTTTCATCATGTGTAGTTATATAACAATTGTCTCTCCCTCTTTCCGCGAGGTATTCCCCTGCGCTTCAGTTAGGTGTAACTATGGAATCCTGGAAGGGACATTGTCGCGTTGTCGCATTGTCGCCCTCTCAAATACAAGCAAAATTAAACAAAACGCGACACGCTACATCGCGACAACGCGACGTTTCGCCCATTTGTCGCATTGTCGCGATGTCGCGTGTCGCCTTTTGGTTTATTTTGTCTCACTTTACTTGTTTTTGACAACGCGACAATGCGACATAGCAACAATGTCCCTTCTAGGATTCCATATGTAACAGGCCCCTGACGTGTACGTTTATTGAAGTATCATCTCAGTCATCTGGACAATACATCAACTGAATATACACGGACAGAATAGAGAAGTGAGTGTGAGTGAATTTGGTTCAACGGCGCTTTTAATGGTATTCCATTTGTCACGGTGTGTCCGCTTTATATGGGAAGAAATCCCGAGGTAACACAAGTACCAGACGCTATCCACCTAGGGTTATGAGAAAATATAATTTACATAAAACACACATCACACTCTGTCCGCACCGAAGAACGCGTAAAAACAAGGATAACAACGTACACATATCCCGTTATAAGTGAAATAAGTTGGAATGTTAAATTCCATCCCACCCGACCTGGGGCAACTTGAAGATCCGGGCAACCGTAGTTCTTCCTGACCTTGGAACACCCTTCTGTAGTGCAGGTACGTATATTCATGGCATCACCCGCGAAACTCTACACATTTTCATTACCTTGACACACCTGTTTCTAGGGCCACTAGAAATTGGAAAGACCTATCACAGCCGTCTCTTGGGGAACTAGAACTTTTCAATACCTTTAACACCCGTCTCTATGGTAACCACATACCTTTCTAACCTGACTAGACATTTTCATTACTTTAGCGGCACCATCTACAGGGCCCACTTTGCCACATTCGTCCCTAGGATCACAAGAGATTGTCTTGATCTCAAATACCGATTTCTGTGTCAATTCGTCGTGTCTGTGACGTGGTGTCGGTACGAGGTGAGGTGAGGTGAGGTGAGGTGAGGTGAGGTGAGGGGGAATGGGTAATTTAACGTAATTTAATGGGTAATTTAACTTAAGAATATTTCGCTCACATGACGAAGCGCATGCGTGTGGCTGCTTGTACTAGCCCAGACTTAAGCTGGTTTTAGAGGGCTAGCTCACTGAGATACCATGCCGCAGTTAAGCACGAATATCCCACTCAAACACATTCTACTGACTCCGAGCCGACCAGTCCTTGTACCCATTAAAAAGTAACATATTTATACCTTTGGCATGACGCGGCATGACGAACCCGCGAACTTCCGCTCTCCAGGCGGATGCTCTAACCACTACACCACGGAGGTGTTGGTGCGAGTACTGTTCAGAATGGTCATGATTGCCGTGTATGACCGAGATTGTGTTGGTAGATCATTTAGCGCATTTCGAATATTATCCTTAATATTTTGCTGAAAGGAGCATATCTGTAGGTGAACACCTGATCACAATACCGGTTGTTCAAAGACGTATTCCTGAGCCTTTCCATTTTTTGAACATGTAAAACACGTGATCAGTTACATTCAACGGAACGTTTCTGTAGTCTCTCCTGTCAGGAGTTAGTTTAGTTTTGTTAAAGAGAGACATAATGTTTTATTGTCGAGGAATGTATAAAATTATGCAATTATGTTTAACATGAGTGGTTCCATATTCATACCGTCAGATATACAAAAACTAGATACTTCGTGGTAACAGATAGTTTCCAAACCGAGTTCAACAATACATCGCTTTGTAGCCAAAACAACCAGTCAGAAGGCCGGGTTTAAATAACGTCTTTCCTCTGCTGTTCAGGAAACGGGGGCGGTGGGGTAGCCTAGTGGTTAAAGCGTTGGCTCGTCACGCCGAAGACCCGGGTTCGAATCTCCACATGGGTACAATTTGTGAAGCCCATTTCTGGTGTCCCTCGCCGTGATGTTGCTGGAATATTGCTTAAAGCGGCGTAAAACTTAATTCAGTCAGTCAGTCAGGAAACGGCATGGATGTGTACAACGATTCATGCAATCAGCACGTTCTTCCATGTCAGTTTAAATAACAGTATCACAATAATGCAAAATATTATGAAAATATTAGTTTTGTTAAACGTAATCGTTGAAGTGGTATGTTAATTTGGTTTTTAATTTCAAGGTATGTTAAAGTACTCAAAGAACCCTGAGTTAGTATTATGAATCAGAATTCGGAGATGGTTGTGGGATTCCTCAGAATTGTCACAATGATTATGTCAACGTTAACAGATTCAAATGCCCCATAGCACCTAGATTACCTTACTATCTTGAGTGCGAGATCGTGTATGTACTATTGGGTGATTCTCTTCCACGGTGTGCAGTGGTCAGGTGGATTACTTGAAGGGTCTCATTGTGTGGCAATAAGATTCTCCCTGCACAAATTTACTAATAGTCTATATTATCTCAGCGATGCAATGTCGTAACGCTTGTTAAACCTCTGCGACTTGTGCCGGTTCCTTCAGATGCTGCTGACGACCAGGGTGCCGTTGTACAAAACAACCTTAGCGCTAAGGCTACCTTAAGTCTACGTTAATGAATGTGAGTTACGGTAACCTTAGCGCTAAGATCGCTTTGTACAACGGCACCCTGAGATATATCTGATATACACTTCAAAGCGACACCGATTCACCCCCTCAACCTTCTGTCTGACAATTATTTCACGCATACAGACGGACCCACGTGCATCCAAAATGTCCTGACGGCATGAATCGTCGCCAGTAAAATCGATTATGGAATTTGGACCAACTGGACTATTTATGCAACATTAGATTAGCTGGACTGTTGGTGCGTGCAGTGAAAAACAACAAACAAACAGATACATGTCCAAACCTAACAGTCCTCTTTGGTGGCATTTCAAGTATTTGCACGGTGGGGTAGCAAATGGTTAAAGCGTTGGCGTCACGCCGCGGGCATTTCAAGTATCTGCACCGATAATTCACCACGCCTTGTATATGTACACTGGCAGGCGGACATATCCATTCGATAGTTAGGTTGATTGTGTTTTATTATGAAAAGTATAAATCATGCTATTTATGTGCAAATGTTCCTATTTTAGTATGAGACACAACTGAAGCAAGTAAGATCCAATTCAGTTCTCTTCTGCTAAGCCTGGTCTACTTGGAAGGGGAGGTCACTCTGAATGATTCAGACGTCCCAGCTCAGACTGAAGACCTTGAGTAGATTGACGAGCACGTCTGGTACCATCAGAACCTACATGAGCACAATAAGACATTCTGATAAGGAGGACGAGGACCTGGCTGATGGTAATGATTTAGAACTGAACCTTGCCAAATGTTCAAAAATATTCGATATGTGTTGCAATATAGACGGTCACCTTATTGCTTGTGTAGTAGAAGAAACTGACACTCCTGCCGTTGACAGTGACGGTGGAGGGGGGTAGTCGCCACGCCGAAGATGGTGACGTTGCCCAGCATCATCGTCTCCTGCTTCAGACCGATGTATGGCAGCTCGGAGTACACTCGCCTCTGGAACACGAACACACAGGGCGACAGTAGCACTCTCCTGCATAAACTCCTCCATGTACAGCTATATCATAAGAATTACTATACGTTAATGGTTGTAATAGTGCTTTTAAACCTGCGTCGGCGTGCTCATGGACAAGAGCTTCTTAGGTCCAAATATTTATAGAAATTAAACTTATATCCGTATCTGTATTTTACAAATTTGTACAAATTAGCATTTGTAGAGAAAAATGTTTGATATCCAGCGATGAAGTGACAAATCCAGGAATGTCAGTGTGAAGAGACGCGGAGATTCCATGGTCGTGGATCAGTAGCTTAGGATTAACTCCTACTCCCTATTGTAAGCATCATACCGGTGTTCATGGTTTCATAAACGTTATGATTATAACGTATGAGATGTGCATCACTTCGGGATTCGTCTAACACACATATAAAACGCCATGAAAGACGTTGACTTTGAACCTGTATCACTCACTTACTCTTCACTCCCCCACGCATGCGTGGTGATACTCACATTAGCTGCATAAAACCACAGCATATTGAACAGCATCTGCTCGTGGGCATCTGCAACAGACGCATATTATGATAACTGATGGGTTCTGACGGTCACAGAAATAGAGGGAGACTTTGATTGTTCACTGGAGTCTGGCTAACTGTTTCACTGTAGTCAGGGTACGGGTCGCCTCGTGGTTCCACTCACCTGGAGTGTCTCCATCATCCCAAAACAGATCTCCCTCAGCTCCCCCAGTGGCGTTCAGGGCCACCACCAACCAGAAAGGGTTGCGTCGGCTGTAAACACACGAAAGACGATTTAAAACCTATTGACCATGCCTGACATATTCTCCTCCTGGAGGAAAGGCTACCAGGACTCCACCCTGTCCACCGCCAATGTTGATAAGTGCCAGCTTGACCAGTCAAACACTAGAACACGTGGTACAACCACTTCACACTGCATATAGTATTACTTAATTAACATGCGGACATTATCACTTGCAAACAAAGACGCACATGTGCCCTGATGGGGCGTTATATTGTGCCCCGGTGGTGTGCTATTGTGCCCTGAAATGCCCTGTAAGGTTGTAGTGACTTCCACTAGATGAAGTCATTATCGCCGCGAGAATGGCTGCAACGTTGCCTTACCTCTGTGCCGTCGTTGTCGCTGGTTCCTGCAGTGGGAGGATGTAGCCGGACCGCACGAGGACGTTGATAACGTCAGGTGGGGCGTCAAACTCGGTCCTATTTCCTTGCACGGGTATCTGTCTTCCGGTGTAGAAGTCGTACCAAAGTGTGTCGGGAAGGTAGGCTGTCACCGACGTTGCTCCCTACACAGCGTCAAGGCAACAACCTGCTTGAATAGTTCATATATGTTTATAATGACAGAGCACCTGCTCGTCCTTCGTAAGTGACGCCAGAGGAGACAGATCTATTTAACCATGTGAACCAATTACAAAAGCAGTAACTATGCAGAGTGTGGAGTTAGGAAATGTAGATTATGTGTGTTCAAAGTAGAGCAGGTACTTTTAACAACCCGAAATTATGTTTTAAATCGAACTTTCTTCACTCACCATCAAGCAACTTTTTTGAGAGGCATTGAGAAGTTGGAGCAGTAAGGATGAACAACTTCTTTATTGCTGTGAGAGCCAGTGATCACTTATCACATGTTTGATAACGGTGTTAGAACCTACACCGAAACGTCGCTCTCACAGCAATAAAGAAGTGTTTCATCCATATATTGTTATCCTTCCTCACTATCAAGCAACTAGAATTATCCTCAAGCCACTTAACTACAATGACAATCCGTCAAGTGTAAGTAGTGTTATGGACCAGTCCGTATTGGGACTACCTATATATGAGCACTAACTGAACATGCAGACCTCAGTCAGCACTGGCAGTATCATGAGAGCTGGCCCCCACAGGAACTGGGTGTCGACGGAATAGGTGGCTCTGTCCCTCGGGAACCTAGGTGGAACACAAGCACATGCGTGTGGTGTAGTAAGTACAGGGTGAAATATAATGCTTAGAATGTTTGTTGTACTCAATCGTCATTAAATGATGCAGTAGCACTTCCTGTTCAAGTGTAGTAATACTAGATGTTTATTAGAATATTCATTTTAGAAAGTTTATAGAAAGTTCATTTTAGAACCATTTTGTAAGGTTTCTGGTCATGTGAAAGCTGCTGTGAGTTAAGTAACGTAAACAATAACATTGTTGAAACAAACTGCTCTATAAAGGCTGTCTTAAAGAAGCTGTAGCAGATTAGTTGGAAGATTACTGACACTAACTCAAAGAAGCAGATGGCGAGGTCTGTCCCCATACCGCTGCTCTAGTGGAACGATGACAGGTATGGCTCAGAAGTAGTGAGAGAGGCCTTGGTGGACGGTCGGGGTCCCGAACGCCGGATCCTGGCTCATCGGGTGTGGAACAAACATTGTATCAGGTATGGCAGCATGAATACAGAGTATCAGGTGATGTCAGACCAAATGCCTGTCAAAGACGGGTGATTTGGGAGTTGTCGGCGAGGGCGAACGTATCCGAAAGCTATTTGACCCGGATCATAACCCAAAGAGTTGTGTTAACCATGTCAGATTTTCGGTTCTAACTGAAGGAGAACCTACCCTGGAGATTTTGGAGTTGTGTACCCTGGAGAAGGGGTAGAATGCACCGAGCTGGTACCAGCGCTGGCACAGGGCCTCCGTGGTGTTTTTCCTGAAGCCACAGATGTCCGCCCCCACAAGGGGCACCCCGAACAGCGAGAAACTGAGAAGTTCTGTATACATTGTATAAATTAGTGTCCATTGTTCTCTGGCTTTCTGATAAATATGCTGCATGCCCTCATCATATTTTATAGTCCAAATCATGAAATGGATAAATTAAGAAATGGGAACAAAATTGACACAGTCATTAAATGATGCCTTAACTGACGGGATGATGTAAATGCAACACGGTATATAACACCATAACAAGGTAGAAGATGGGGATCACTGTGCTATATATGTACAGCATGTTAGTCATGACGGACACTGACCGGATATTGACCGAGTCATGTCCTTGTAGGATGCCGCATTGTCGCCGCTCCAGTGCCCTCCGTAGTGACCTTGACCTGGAAAACTTGACCTTGATATGATGAAAGGTCTATGACCTTTTTCTGACTTCCTTCAAAGCCCTACAAATAACCAGAAAACGTGTATGACGTTGTGACTGTGGGTAATATATAAAGATGAGGGAAATCTCAGTCTTCCAGTTGATATCTGTAATCTAGGTAATGGTAGTTACCAAGGGTCCCAACTATGCAGGTCGTTTCTGAGAGCAGAGACCATATAATAGATTATATGGTCTCTGCTGAGAGTCATTGCACCCATAGAAGGATTATTTGCTTTCTTTTTGTTATTTGCTTTCTTTTTGTTCGACATAGCTGAAACAACACAAAAAACTACACGACTTTGTTTCAATTAGGCGCTCTGAGTTTGGTCCGGGTTCACCTCGCGAGATCATTCTCTAAGGATTTGTCAGATATTCATTCAAATCTAAACTGGACTAGTGTGGTAGGAGCTTCAGGTATGTTCGTGTTTCTGCTACAAGATTAACCGTTTGAATCTCTACCACTTACTGAAAGGTGGCATTGGTCTCCGTCAAGCTGTACATGTTGTGGATGTTGTAGTTCCGGGACCAGTGCTGTCGTGATGACGTGCATATGGTGTGGGTGTAGAGGAGGTCGCCGTATACAGCTGACAAAAAATAGAGGAAATTTTAAGGGGTCGAGTTTCTATATTCCGCTATAAATATTGCAAAGCTGCTATACTATGGATTTTAGACATTGTAACCTAACGCTTCTATGACGTGACAGCTTTATATTTATTCTGTAGCACACCTCCAGGTTATAGGTGGAAATTTCCATCCAGGCAGTTATTATCATCTATTATTATAGGATATTTATATAGCGCACATATCCACGCAACTAGTGCATGCTCAAGGCGCTGTTATTTTTTTCCCTCGATCATTGGATGTCAATCTCAACGGCACATCGTATTATCAATCTTGCTGCCACTAGGCGCACCGAGTTATTGTGGCTTTCTCATCCTAACGAGGTTAACCCGTGTAGAGTTTCTCCTTGTCATTTAACTAACTAGAAACATATGAGTACCTTCACAGTCATAGGGGCGGACGTCTAAAAACAGATACATTTGAAAACAGCTTCAGTAATGTCTCATAAGTACAACCTGTACCTGTAATTGTAAGGGAAACATCCTGTACAACCTGTACCTGTAATTGTAAGGGAAACATCTGGCTGCATTCTCCTGGAGACGTGTTCCTCATGGAGATTTTTTTATCCATATCGATAATGTTTTTTCCCTATTACTAAAATTTAAAAGCGTCAATAGAAATTTAAATGATGATTCGTGATCCAGTGAAATAAATGTTGTCAGCATTTGTTTGTGTGTTTGATCAGGCGCCATTACTGTACTTGTTAGAGACTAACGCTTAGTCTCTGAATATATATGATAATAGGACAAACAAATAAACCCGTTTAAATTGACAATGAGCTTAGTGAGTTGGAAGATTCCCTGAACCTGAACTGACTTGCTCCATTTAGGGCTTTATCATTGCAACGAGGGCTATAGGCAGTAGGGAAAGTAGAATGTGGTTCAGGGACCGTTAGACACACTCAGTACTCCCTACAGCGTCAGTGAGTGTACCTGGCAGATAGGGCGGGTTGTCGTATGTGGTGTTGGACTCAGGGCAGCCGCTCACAGAGCCGTCCACGAAGCTGGAGATGTCGTTCATATCCTACAAGTAGCAGTGATAAAACTTATTTGTTTCATTTCGTCCACCAGCGTTTGAATCAACTGTGTATCGTCAAATACAACCCACAAGGCTTGTGTCTACTCATAACACACACAGCCCTCCTGACTAACTAACAACACACATCACACAAGGCGTGTGTCTACTCATAACACACATCACACAAGGCTTGTGTCTACTCATAACACACATCACACAAGGCTTGTGTCTACTCACAACACACACAACCCTCCTGACTAACTAACAACACACATTACACAAGGCGTGTGTCTACTCATAACACACATCACACAAGGCTTGTGTCTACTCATAACACACATCACACAAGGCTTGTGTCTACTCACAACACACACAACCCTCCTGACTAACTAACAACACACATCACACACGGCTTGTGTCTACTCACAACACACACAACCCTCCTGACTAACTAACAACACACATCACACAAGGCTTGTGTCAACTCATAACACACATCACACAAGGCTTGTGTCTACTCATAACACACATCACACAAGGCGTGTGTCTACTCATAACACACATCACACAAGGCTTGTGTCTACTCATAACACACATCACACAAGGCTTGTGTCTACTCACAATACACACAGCCCTCCTGACTAACAACACGTATCACACAAGGCTTGTGTCTACTCATAACACACATCACACAAGGCTTGTGTCTACTCATAACACACATCACACAAGGCTTGTGTCTACTCATAACACACATCACACAAGGCTTCTGTCTACTCATAACACACATCACACAAGGCTTGTGTCTACTCACAACACACACAGCCCTCCTGACTAACTAACAACACGTATAACACAAGGCTTGTGTCTACTCATAACACACATCACACAAGGCCTGTGTCTACTCATAACACACATCACACAAGGCTTGTGTCTACCATCACAACAACATCACACAAGGCTTGTGTCTACTCATCAACACACATCACACAAGGCTCCTGTGTGTCTACTCACAACACACATCACACAACCCTCCTGTCTAACTAACAACACACATCACACACGGCTTGTGTCTACTCACAACACACACACAAGGCGTGTGTCTACTCACAACACACATCACACAAGGCGTGTGTCTACTCATAACACACATCACACAAGGCTTGTGTCTACTCATAACACACATCACACAAGGCTTGTGTGTCACACTCACTAACACACATCACACAAGGCGTGTGTCTACTCATAACACACATCACACAAGGCTTGTGTCTACTCATAACACACAGCCCTCCTGTCTAACTAACAACACATCACACAAGGCGTGTGTCTACTCATAACACACATCACACAAGGCTTGTGTCTACTCACAACACACATCACACAAGGCTTGTGTCTACTCATAACAACACACATCACACAAGGCTTGTGTCTACTCATAACACACATCACACAAGGCGTGTGTCTACTCATAACACACACATCACACAAGGCTTGTGTCTACTCATAACACAACATAACACACATCACACAAGGCGTGTCTACTCATAACACATCACACAAGGCCTGTGTCTACTCATAACACACATCACACAAGGCTTGTGTCTACTCATAACACACATCACACAAGGCTTGTGTCTACTCATAACACACATCACACAAGGCTTGTGTCTACTCATAACACACATATCACACACACAAGGCTTGTGTCTACTCATAACACACATCACACAAGGCTTGTGTCTACTCATAACACACATCACACAAGGCTTGTGTCTACTCATAACACACATCACACAAGGCTTGTGTCTACTCATAACACACATCACACAAGGCTTGTGTCTACTCATAACACACATCACACAAGGCTTGTGTCTACTCACAACACACACAGCCCTCCTGACTAACAACACACATCACACAAGGCTTGTGTCTACTCATAACACACATCACACAAGGCGTGTGTCTACTCATAACACACACAGCCCTCCTGACTAACTAACAACACACATCACACAAGGCTTGTGTCTACTCATAACACACATCACACAAGGCTTGTGTCTACTCACAACACACACAGCCCTCCTGACTAACTAACAACACACATCACACAAGGCTTGTGTCTACTCATAACACACATCACACAAGACTTGTGTCTACTCACAACACACACAGCCCTCCTGACTAACTAACAACACACATCACACAAGGCGTGTGTCTACTCATAACACACATCACACAAGGCTTGTGTCTACTCATAACACACATCACACAAGGCTTGTGTCTACTCACAACACACACAACCCTCCTGACTAACTAACAACACACATCACACAAGGCTTGTGTCTACTCACAACACACACAACCCTCCTTACTAACTAACAACACACATCACACAAGGCTTGTGTCTACTCACAACACACACAACCCTCCTGACTAACTAACAACACACATCACACAAGGCGTGTGTCTACTCACAACACACACAGCCCTCCTGACTAACTAACAACACGTATCACACACGTCACAATCTTCAGTACAACCTGTGTTTATTCAATACCTACCAGCCACATGCCATCAAACTGGACCTTGTCGTGGAACAACCTGACCATCATCGTCCAGTAGCTCTGTGAGTCGGGGTGGGTGAAGTCGGGGAACACTGTGTCACCGGGCCACACCTGTAGGGGTCAGGAGAGAGTCAGTAGCACCTTGGACTTGATGTAGCTTGTTACCAATAAAGAATAACTATTCCAACATATTACTAGTCATTAACATGTTCGGAAAACAAAACTACCACCCTTGTCAATCTCTTGCTCAGTCTATACAAGAGTGCGACTCCCTATCCAAATATTATTCTATAAACTGCTTCGTTTATATCGCCAACAATTCCTCTAGTTGCACAAGGATTCAGCGACGCCCTTGGTATATCATAGACTAAGCATATTACTTCCAGTAGTGTCAACCATTATACATCCCATAATTTGTTCAGATCCCATACTGTCAGTTCTGTCTGAAAAGCCGAAAATGAATAATGCAAGGTTTTCTATTTGCATATTAATCCGTAAAGGAAACTGTTTTTACGCGCAGGCTGTATCCTGTCGAGAAATGTACCCGCTATGATAATTATCTATCTGTTTAACTGAAGCGGTTTCGATACAAATACTTGGCATTCGAATCAACAATATAACAGCATCCCTGGGGTTTCATGTGCCCATGCAAGAATGGCCACGTACATAGTAACAACAATTTGCGTACCTTTGACACCAAGGGTTCATCGTTGTCCGCATTCCGAATAAAGATGCCCATCTTCATCCCGAGGTCATATGGTGCGTAGGAGCCTGCAGGTTGGGTGTTGCTTATCCCGGGATCCTGGCACAGCAATGTCAAGGACATATGTTGGCATCACTCATGGGAAATGTGTTTGTTGTACTTTTCTAATGCGGAAAACATTTTCAAACAGACATGTAGTTGTACAGTTTGAGGATTGCTTAATGTTACTATAAGCAGGAACTGCGGGAAGTTAAATGTGTAAGCTCTCCAGCTTACGGTAAGGAATGTTCAGGGAGTGAACATCGGTTTATGTCGTTGGTAGCACTACCCAAGTGCTCGACTGGGGAAACCAGAATATTGTATCAATATGGGAATCGAACCCAGGTGTTTGGTACCACGAGCGTACACTTTAACACTTGGCTACTCCATCACCCCTGCAAATGTTCACAGGAATGTCTTACCGTGATGATGACGTAGTGCATGCCGAGGGAGTGGACATAATCCACTAGTCCTGCCTGGTCGCCAAATGTTGGCGAAGTCGTGAAATCCTTCAGACCATCCATGTAGTCGATGTCGTTCCACTGGACATCCTGCAGACATATGGTGAATAGGCAACGTGGATACAGAACGCTTGGACATCTTAAGTGAACATATAATCCTGACATATAATCCTGACATATAATCCTGACATATAATCCTATAAAACTGAATGGTGTGTTACACTGCAATCAGCAATATTTCAGATGGGTCCCTACAAACGGTACATATTCGAGTCTGCACCAGATAACTTAGTGACCGTGTTATGATCAAGGTACACAAGTCACACAGTTTTGCCTTCTGAGCCAGTGTATTAACCCTAGAGTACAAGCGGAACATCGGTATCTCAGGTTCACACAGCGAATCTGGGAGTAAGTTTAGCCAATTGACTTGTGGGAATCAAATCTTAAGTCTTTGGTCAAACGAACGTCAGAGTGACCACGGTAAGATTCGCTGTCAAAGGTTTTGTGAAAAGATTCGAAAACAAACTTTAAGTCCAAAATTATACTGATACCAACAACGAGTTACAAGCTAGAATATATAAACAAGCCTTAACATGACTCAATACAGTACGTACTTGACACAATAAATGAATCTCGTAGCGAAACATATCCAGCACTTCTGCCTGACATGTGGACTTACTACAGGAACCCCAGCCTCCCTGATCCTCTCAAGCACCAAGCGTGTCCTGTTGGCAGTGTTGTAACCATAGCGACACACGTGGAATCCAAGACCCCAATATGGCGGCATGAAGCTGCGTCCAATCAACTGTGTGTATTGCTGGATGACGTCATCAGGACCCGGTCCAAGGAACACGTAAAAGTCGAGAATCCCCCCGATGGTGCGCCACGTGACGGCCGGGGCTGGCTGGAGCATCACCTCTGCGGGAAAGGCAGACATTAGACCAGTCTAAGTAAACTTAGGCTCAGTATAGCAGTGTAATTAATAATACTGAGTCTAGGTTTACTTAGACTGGACATTAGACGTGACGAAGACAAGACTCCTGCATGTTCACGGATCCATAACAGAATAAAGAATTTAAAAAATAGAACTTTACTTGCCTTTAATGTTACTTAGCATCTTCTAAAATGCCAATCAACTGTTGACGATGTGTGTATTGGCTATATTCACTGACCTAAGGCGTTGCTGTTGAGGAGGAGAACACCGTGACTGCTGCCGTCCTCCTCCATCATCAGGTAGAAGGGGTGGGAGCCGTACAGGTTCCTGTCTTCCTGGTGGCACGGTCACAGTAACACAGTCACATTTTATACTTACATTACAGCGCCATGACACATTGACACAGTCCCATTTGATCCTTATATTATAGCGGCATAACACATTGACACAGTCACATTTGATCCTTACATTATAGCGGCATGACACATTGACACAGTCACATTTGATCCTTACATTATAGCGGCATGACACATTGACACAGTCCCATTTGATCCTTACAGTCCCATTTGATCCTTACATTATAGCGGCATGACACATTGGCACAGTCACATTTGATCCTTACATTATAGCGGCATGACACATTGGACACAGTCACATTTGATCCTTACATTATAGCGGCATGACACATTGACACAGTCACACATTTGATCCTTACATTATAGCGGTATGACACATTGACACAGTCACATTTGATCCTTACATTATAGCGGTATGACACATTGACACAGTCACATTTGATCCTTACATTATAGCGGCATGACACATGATCCTTACACAGTCACACTTGATCCTTACATTATAGCGGCATGACACATTGACACAGTCACATTTGATCCTTACATTACAGTGGCATGACACATTGACACAGTCACATTTGATCCTTACATTATAGCGACATGACACATTGACACAGTCACATTTGATCCTTACATTATAGCGGCATGACACATTGACACAGTCACATTTGATCCTTACATTACAGCGGCATGACACATTGACACAGTCACATTTCGTCCATGCATAATAGTGAGCTGACATCATTATTGTTTACGTCCAGTCTATTGAGTAGTTAAGAGGGCACATACCAGTGCAGAAACACGTCCTGCGTTAATTCAACACCTTTACCAGTCACCTGGTCTCAACTTTCTACTGATGTTAATATGCCATATATTATATCTATAGAAATTCACAATGTCACACTGAACGAACATAAGTATGGGTTTAGTAAGGTGCTGATTCAAACGTATGTTGGTAATTGTTAACATTCTCACCTCCGGCGGAGTCCCGCGGTTCCACATGACGAAGCGGGTCCAGTTGAAGCTGTGCAGGAAGGTGTCCCTGTGTTCGCCCAGCCCGTACAGAAAGGTGCTGGGGACGCGGTAACTCACCTGCAGGAACTGATCAGCGAACAACAGAGGGCCCAGCGTCTGCAGACTGTATCAGAAACAAACAAGTCACGTGACCAACCCACCGTAAACTGAACAGTTCAGATATAGTATCATCTTACTGTCATAGCCACGTAACCAGCCCACCGTAACCAGAACAGTTCGGATATAGTATCATCTTACTGTCACAGCCACGTAACCAGCCCACCGTAAACTGAACAGTTCGGATATAGTATCATCTTACTGTCACAGCCACGTAACCAGCCCACCGTAAACTGAACAGTTCGGATATAGTATCATCTTATTGTCACAGTCACGTAGCCAGCCCACCGTAACCTGAACAGTTCGGATATAGTATCATCTTACATCTTACTGTCCAGTCACAGTCACGTAACCAGCCCACCGTAACCTGAACAGTTCGGATATAGTATCATCTTACTGCCAAGCCACAGCCACGTAACCAGCCCACCGTCACCTGAACAGTTCGGATATAGTATCATCTTACTGTCACAGTCACGTAACCAGCCCACCGTAACCTGAACAGTTCAGATATAGTATCATCTTACTGTCACAGTCACGTAACCAGCCCACCGTAACCTGAACAGTTCAGATATAGTATCATCTTACTCCAGTCACAGTCACGTAACCAGCCCACCGTAAACTGAACAGTTCGGATATAGTATCATCTTACTGTCACAGTCACGTAACCAGCCCACCGTAACCTGAACAGTTCAGATATAGTATTATCTTACTGTCACAGCCACGTAACCAGCCCACCGTAACCTGAACAGTTCAGATATAGTATCATCTTACTGTCACAGTCACGTAACCAGCCCACCGTAACCTGAACAGTTCAGATATAGTATTATCTTACTGTCAGTCAGTCCAGTCACGTAACCAGCCCACCGTAACCTGAACAGTTCAGATATAGTATCATCTTACTGTCAGTCAGTAACCAGCCCACCGTAACCTCAACAGTTCAGTAACCAGCCCACCGTAAACTGAACAGTTCGGATATAGTATCATCTTACTGTCACAGTCACGTAACCAGCCCACCGTAACCTGAACAGTTCAGATATAGTATCATCTTACTGTCACAGCCACGTAACCAGCCCACCGTAACCTGAACAGTTCAGATATAGTATCATCTTACTGTCACAGTCACGTAACCAGCCCACCGTAAACTGAACAGTTCGGATATAGTATCATCTTACTGTCCAGTCACAGTCACGTAACCAGCACGCCGTAACCTCAACAACAGTTCAGGTATAGTATCATCTTACTGTCCAGTCACAGCCACGTGACCAGCCCACCGTAACCTCAACAGTTCAGGTATAGTATCATCTTACTGTCCAGTCACAGTCACGGTCACGTAACCAGCTCACCGTAACCTCAACAGTTCAGATATACTATCCTCTTGATAGTCAGTGATAGTCACGAAGCGCGGGGGACGGGAAGCTACAAGAGCGTTAGCTAGGTTGAAACTGGTGTGGAGAGATGATACACTGTGCTCATGAAAGAGATTGGTTTGACATGGCTTTGTTTAGCATTTAGTTGGCGTACGGGGTTAACCCGACGTTGTGCAGAGTTAGACGTTTACGGCCTTGGTAACCCACCACCAGGGGTATGAAATACCTAGATACCTATTCAGGGTGGTTGGGATTAGAACCAAGCAGGCCCCAACTTTCAACAGAGGCTTACGGAGACGATTGGGATTCCCGAGTCTCCTCGCTGGATGTAAAGCTGGATGGACATATTGGAATATGACAGGGCCACGTATAAAGCATACATTGCACTTCCAGAAGTCTTCCTCTGGACGTTGAACGCAAATGGTTCCTGTAGTCCGGCAGTGTTTACAGTGTAGAGGTCTTTGTCTGTGTCGGGCATCTGTGTCTGTTCTGTGTCTGGCGTCTCGAAGTTTAAGCTAGAACCGTTGATAGGCACCTCCCACCTCTTAGATGTTGCGTCGGTTATCTGCAATACATCACAAACGCCAATAAGACAGCTGATGGAGACATATCCGACGGGGTTCACAATAACATCTACACCGGAAGTCCCATGTTAAGATTCATGGCAACATGTACTGGTCGTAAGTGATGACTAAACATCTCCGAGTCTGGGTCAGTGAAAATGTTGATTGTGGGTCTTAGTACCCCGAGATCGTGGATCGACGCTCATGATATTAACCATTGATGTATTTCTTTCAGATTTGATTATTTACAGGCAGCCGACATACAGACGGCGTTAACCACAACCGACCAAACCTAGCTATCCGTGTAAGTATCTGACTCACCCGGATCCTGACCGATGTAGTGGACAGGTGGACGATGGACACAGCTAGGTGGTGAACATCGTTGGGGTAGTGTGTCGTGGCGTTGTTGTAGAGCTGCATGGTGGTCACCGACCCGTAGTTCTGCTTGTGGACTACTATATATGCGGGGTAGTTAGCAGGGTAGAAGCAGGTGGGTGACGGCCCACCCACATCGTTCCAACAACATCCTCGACTCTGGCAGGCAGTGTGGGACAGGTTCCCCTCAGGATGGCAGTCAAGGTGGGTGGATGGAGTCATATCACACTGTTCTGACAACATGTCACCCCATTCAGCTGCTTCGCGGCTGTATCTACCCGCCTGCCCTGTTAGAGATCCGGGCGGACGATCAGTTGACGCGGAGATTGCAGGAAGGTGTGGTTTGTAGGGGTAGTCGGTGTAGAGGAGGGATCGTACGGCTGGACTGAAGCTGAGAAGCAACACCGCCGCCAGGGTGAGTGACCCCAACAGTATACTGAGGCGTGGCCATTCCCGTTGACACACCCTTTGGCGGGAGAAGTCTTGCCCCTCCATCAGTCCCTCCCCAACTACCCTGTTGGAGCAGTTCATCAGGTGCATCGTGGACGACGGTTACAGCCAGTCTACACACCGCCACTACTGACACAGATGAGGAGAGATATCGCAGTCCATTATCTGACAATTATCACACCTGCCTTTGATCCCTACCTGGTGTGAGCGCCGGGCCTATGGTGTTACTTGTTGACCATGTAGTACAAACTACCGTCGGTCGGCTGTCCCTGTCTGTGTGACTGTCAGTATGTGAAGATATGGTTCTATAGGACTTCTTGTACGTACTTCTTGACCTGTTGAACATGTGTGTGGGTAACGGAATAGGATGGGTGGAAATGAGTGAGTGAGTGAATTTAGTTCTACGCCGCTTGTAACAATATTCCAGCAATATCCCGGCGGGGGACACCAGTGGGCTTCACACATTACGCCCATGTGGGGAATAGAACCCGTGTCTTCCGCGTGACGAGCAAACGCCTTAGCCACAAGGCTACCCCACCGTCCCATGTGAAAATGAACTGACTAGATATTAACTGCATCGGTATCCACGCAGGATTTGTGTAATGTAGGTTGCCCTAATGCCATATTAGACTGCATGAATCCACGGTTGCACTAATGCATCACCTCTATACATGGCAATGGTGATTGCACAAGATCCATAGTCCTACCACATCACACCAGCTTGTGTGAAATCTCGGTTGCATTAATGACACAGTAGGGATTTACGGTTGCCCAATATCCATAACACATGACATGGAGGCCTGGTTGGTATTACATGAGGCGGCCGGCGGGTCATGTTAATCACGTGGGAAGGTATGACGCAGTCGGAATCTGAAATGCTACCAAATATTGCATTTGTAAATCTGGAGATACAAAATTATAGTAAACGCAAATCTACCTCATCACTCCTTTCCTGGCCTACACCTGGTGTTTTGTGGCAAGTTATCCGAAACATGCTATAACCAGGGGTGAATAACACTACCTGTCCCTGTATCATCATATGGGTTCAAAGGTCACGCCGACCTGACTACTCCATGTCGTCCATGTCGTACACATGGAGCAGGGCGTGTCTCATGCAACCTGGCGGTGCTCCAAATCATGTTTGGGCAACCAATGTTAATTCATGATTATTACATTTAATAAAACAAACTTTGTGTGTGTGAATAAGATGGGGTTTTTTTTATTGTAAATCATTATTGCATAAAAGAGGTCGTATATGTGCATACTTCTGAAAAGTGTTCTTTTAAGAGAGGAAACATTTCTTCAATGAAATTGCAGATAGAGTAAGTACACAACGAAAGAGTTCAAACGCGACGTTATAAAATTACTACTTCTACTACTACTACTACTACTACTGCTGCTGCTGCTGCTGCTGCTGCTGGTAATACTACAGTATAATAATATTTATTAATCGTGTAAATACTTATGCAGCTTTACAACATCGCCGACGGTAGTGACATTTCTGAGTCAGCATAACGCGCTACTGTTCTACAAATCGACATGCCGGTAAAGTATCTCGCGCCTAACGGCCCCGTCGACATTTACTAGGGTTTAAATATAAAGTATGACAACCCGGTCACCTACTGTCTATATTATTTGTCTAGGCAAGGACAGCTCAACGGGACTTGCAAGGTACAGACGGATGCTACTGGCCTTCTGGCTAGCCTTGGGGGTGTATAAACTAGCTTGAATTGTTTACTGTCTGGCCTTGTGGGCGTATAAACTAGCTTGTTTACTGTCTAGCCTTGTGGATGTATAAACTAGCTTGTTTACTGTCTAGCCTTGTGGATGTATAAACTAGATTGTTTACTGTCTAGCCTTGTGGATGTATAAACTAGCTTGTTTACTGTCTAGCCTTGTGGATGTATAAACTAGCTTGTTTACTGTCTAGCCTTGTGGATGTATAAACTAGCTTGTTTACTGTCTAGCCTTGGGGGTGTATAAACTAGATTGTTTACTGTCTGGCCTTGTGGGCGTATAAACTAGCTTGTTTACTGTCTAGCCTTGTGGATGTATAAACTAGATTGTTTACTGTCTAGCCTTGTGGATGTATAAACTAGCTTGTTTACTGTCTAGCCTTGTGGATGTATAAAGTAGCTTGTTTACTGTTAAGCCTTGGGGGTGTATAAACTAGCTTGTTTACTGTTAAGCCTTGTGGATGTATAAACTAGCTTGTTTACTGTCTAGCCTTGTGGATGTATAAACTAGATTGTTTACTGTCTAGCCTTGTGGATGTATAAACTAGATTGTTTACTGTTAAGCCTTGTGGATGTATAAACTAGCTTGTTTACTGTCTAGCCTTGTGGATGTATAAACTAGCTTGTTTACTGTCTAGCCTTGTGGATGTATAAACTAGATTGTTTACTGTCTAGCCTTGTGGATGTATAAACTAGCTTGTTTACTGTCTAGCCTTGGGGGTGTATAAACTAGATTGTTTACTGTCTGGCCTTGTGGGCGTATAAACTAGCTTGTTTACTGTCTAGCCTTGTGGATGTATAAACTAGCTTGTTTACTGTCTAGCCTTGTGGATGTATAAACTAGCTTGTTTACTGTCTAGCCTTGTGGATGTATAAACCAGCTTGTTTACTGTTAAGCCTTGTGGATGTATAAACTAGCTTGTTTACTGTCTAGCCTTTGGGGTGTATAAACTAGCTTGTTTACTGTTGCCTTGTGGATGTATAAACCAGCTTGTTTACTGTCTAGCCTTGTGGATGTATAAACCAGATTGTTTACTGTTAAGCCTTGTGGATGTATAAACTAGCTTGTTTACTGTCTAGCCTTGTGGATGTATAAACCAGCTTGTTTACTGTCTAGCCTTGTGGATGTATAAACTAGATTGTTTACTGTCTAGCCTTGTGGATGTATAAACTAGCTTGTTTACTGTCTAGCCTTGGGGGTGTATAAACCAGATTGTTTACTGTCTGGCCTTGTGGGCGTATAAACTAGATTGTTTACTGTCTAGCCTTGTGGATGTATAAACCAGCTTGTTTACTGTCTAGCCTTGGGGTGTATAAACTAGATTGTTTACTGTCTAGCCTTGTGGATGTATAAACTAGCTTGTTTACTGTCTAGCCTTGGGGGTGTATAAACTAGCTTGTTTACTGTCTGGCCTTGTGGGCGTATAAACTAGATTGTTTACTGTCTAGCCTTGTGGGTGTATAAACTAGCTTGTTTACTGTCTAGCCTTGTGGATGTATAAACTAGCTTGTTTACTGTCTAGCCTTGTGGATGCATAAACTAGCTTGTTTTACTGTCTAGCCTTGGGGTGAATAAACTAGCTTGTTTACTGTCTCAGCCTTGTGGGTGTATAAACTAACTTGTTTACTGTCTAGCCTTGGGGTGTATAAACTAGTTTGTTTACTGTCTAGCCTTGGGGGTGTATAAAGTAGCTTGTTTACTGTCTAGCCTTGTGGGTGTATAAAGTAGCTTGTTTACTGTCTAGCCTTGTGGATGTATAAACTAGCTTGTTTACTGTCTAGCCTTCGGGGTGTATAAACTAGATTGTTTACTGTCTAGCCTTGTGGGCGTATAAACTAGTTTGTTTACTGTCTAGCCTTGGGGGTGTATAAACTAGCTTGTATACTGTCTAGCCTTGTGGATGTATAAACTAGCTTGTTTACTGTCTAGTTAGGGGGTGTATAAACTAGCTTGTTTACTGTCTAGCCTTGGGGGTGTATAAACTAGCTTGTTTACTGTCTAGCCTTGTGGGCGTATAAACTAGCTTGTTTACTGTCTAGCCTAGTGGATGTATAAACTAGCTTGTTTACTGTCTAGCCTTGTGGGTGTATCAACTAGCTTGTTTACTGTCTAGCCTTGTGGGTGTATAAACTAACTTGTTTACTGTCTAGCCTTGTGGATGTATAAACTAGCTTGTTTACTGTCTAGCCTTGTGGATGTATAAACTAGCTTGTTGACTGTCTAGCCTTGTGGATGTATAAACTAGCTTGTTTACTGTTAAGCCTTGTGGATGTATAAACTAGCTTGTTTACTGTCTAGCCTTGTGGATGTATAAACTAGATTGTTTACTGTTAAGTGTTGTGGATGTATAAACTAGCTTGTTTACTGTCTAGCCTTGGGGGTGTATAAACTAGATTGTTTACTGTCTAGCCATGTGGATGTATAAACTAGATTGTTTACTGTTAAGCCTTGTGGATGTATAAACTAGCTTGTTTACTGTTAAGCCTTGTGGATGTATAAACTAGATTGTTTACTGTCTAGCATTGTGGATGTATAAACTAGCTTGTTTACTGTCTAGCCTTGTGGATGTATAAACTAGATTGTTTACTGTTAAGCCTTGTGGATGTATAGACTAGATTGTTTACTGTCTAGCCTTGTGGATGTATAAACTAGCTTGTTTACTGTTAAGCCTTGTGGATGTATAAAGTAGCTTGTTTACTGTCTAGCCTTGTGGATGTATAAACTAGCTTGTTTACTGTCTAGCCTTGTGGATGTATAAACTAGATTGTTTACTGTTAAGTCTTGTGGATGTATAAACTAGATTGTTTACTGTCTAGCCTTGTGGATAGATAAACTAGCTCGTTTACTGTCTAGCCTTGTGGATGTATACACTAGATTGTTTACTGTCTAGCCTTGTGGATGTATAAACTAGATTGTTTACTGTTAAGCCTTGTGGATGTATAAATTAGATTGTTTACTGTTAAGCCTTGTGGATGTATAAAATAGCTTGTTTACTGTTAAGCCTTGTGGATGTATAAAGTAGCTTGTTTACTGTCTAGCCTTGTGGATGTATAAACTAGCTTGTTTACTGTCTAGCCTTGTGGATGTATAAACCAGATTGTTTACTGTTAAGCCTTTGTGGATGCATAAACTAGATTGTTTACTGTCTAGCCTTGTGGATGTATAAACCAGCTTGTTTACTGTCTAGCCTTGTGGATATATAAACTAACTTGTTTACTGTCTAGCCTTGTGGATGTATAAACTAGCTTGTTTACTGTCTAGCCTTGTGGATGTATAAACTAGCTTGTTTACTGTCTAGCCTTGTGCATGTATAAAGTAGATTGTTTACTGTTAAGCCTTGTGGATGTATAAACTAGCTTGTTTACTGTCTAGCCTTGTGGATGTATAAACTAGATTGTTTACTGTCTAGCCTTGTGGATGTATAAACTAGCTTGTTTACTGTCTAGCCTTGGGGTGTGTATAAACTAGCTTGTTTACTGTCTAGCCTTGTGGATGTATAAACTAGATTGTTTATTGTTA